GTGAGTACCGGTTGGGCGACAAGGAGTCGACCACAGCTTTCAAGGATTTCATACTTCTTGCGATCAATCGCACCCTCTTTGCCATCGATGACAAACATTATCTCACAATACATATGCATTCGCGGGTAAAGTCTGTATACGCGGCCGACGGCCCGGAATCGGTTGAGTTGGACATGAAGTCAATGAATTTATACGATATTAAATACCGTAAGACTATTGTAAAACACGTCAGCAAAAACAATGTCGATAAATATGACACTAATTTTTGCTCGATTAACGGTACGAGAGGTGACTGTATATACGGCTGCGTAACCGCACTGTTGGCCGCGAATAGCACTCAATATCCATATAATTATCAATCGTATGACACGAATAGTCGGCTAATGTTTGGCCAGAATTACCAACAGATAACTGAGTTTCGCAATGAATGCGCGAATCGTTGCAAACATAACACCGAATGCTATAAAGAGTATTACGATTTCATAATAGACTCCCGATTTGTCGGGTATTTAAACACTAGCCGTTCGGTCAACGCGTTTATAGAATACCCGACAAAACCCGAAACTGTTTACGAAATTTACCCCAAAATGTATTTCGAAGAGTATTTCTGTCTTATGGCCAGTATTTTGAGCCTTTGGTTCGGCTTTTCTATCATAATGTTTACCACATTTTGTTCACAACTTGTTGTCAAAGGCTTTAATTATTACAAAAACCATATCTCTGTTCACTTTCACCATCACATTGTTGTTAAACGTAATAATTACAGATTATTTGAAAAGCGTCATGGTAAATTAAGATTTTAATTATTTCGTGTATTTACTCTATATAAATTAATTTTACTACATATCAATAAATAGCAAAATGTGTATCTCATTTATTTTACATATCATTACCATGTACTACCTATAAACTTTAAATACTGTATATTATTTAAATATGAGTAAATTATTAACTTTTAGCTCAAATAAACTGTAACATCTTTAAATTACTTCAATTTAATTAATTATATCATACTTTGAATTGACAATTGGCTTTACACACCCGTTCGTATTGTATTTAATTAAAATATTTTAATAATATGTATTACAATTAAATATATTAATGGTTATAAATTATAGTTATCCTAGTTAATAGCTTGTACATTTGTTTATAAAAATGTTATAGATTTTAGATTTAAGGTTATTGCGTCTATTTTTGTTTTGTTTTATTTTACATGAATTATTCTTTTGTTAAAAATTATAATATTTTTGTGATTTATATAATATTTTAAAATATATTTGTTAGGCATTTAACATAAGTATTAAAATTTTAATTATATTAAGTTATTTCATAGTAAATTTTAATTCTATTTCAAAAGATATAATTTCATATTCTGTATGCTATTAATTAATAAACCTACGAGTTAACAATGATTAATTATTTTTAATAAAAAATCAAACATCTAAAATTACACGAAACTTCAATTTTGTTATTCTAAATAAGTATTGTCATTATTTAAGAGTTATTATATTCTATAAACCTGTCACTTTTAAGCATATTTTGAGCTTGGTTATTACTTCATAAAATGTATAAAATAGTGATGTTATAACTGTTTAGTTAAAACAAATTAATCACGATCAAAATACGTAATTCAGTTTAAACAACAATTATAATTGTAAACAAAAAATCAATTCCAAAAAACAAGTTTACAATTGAATTAAATTATTATAACTAATAATTTAAAACATGACAATTAATAATGAATTCTTTTTTAATACAAAAACACATTAAACTAATTGATTGATTGACAGACATATCTTAAAGCATATAAACCGATAGTTTTTCATATAATTAATTCAAATACAATTTAGTTAACAAAGCAATTAAACAATAAAAATATCCATAACTTTACCGTTGGCTATAGTTATAAGCCTATACATGTATGTCGGCTTTATAAACTGTAATATCTTTATATTACTTCAATTTAATTAATAATTTCATACTTTGAATTGACGATTGGACTATTTAGTAAATTATATTTAGTAAATATATATTAATGCCTATTAATTAAAATATTTTAATAATATTTATTACAATTAAATAAAATAATGGCTATAAATTATAGTTGGTTTGTACATTTGTTTATAAAAATGTAATAGATTTTGAATTAAAATGAGATTATTACGTTTATGGGGTGTGTATTTTGGTTTTGTTTGATTCTACATGAATTAGTTTACAACATAAAAATCTGAAGTTATCCTTATGTTAAAAATTTTAATAATTTTGTGATTTATATGATATTTTAAAATATATCTGTTAGGCATTTAACATAAGTATTTTTGCCCGGCTTTGCAATGTTAATAAATATGAAACAAATCAAAATTAACATTCTAGTTACATTGTAGTTATGATTGTAACTTATCACAAATAAAACATAAATACTGTCAACGAATTTACAAAATAAATAATAGCAAATAATTTTAAATTAATACATTATCCGATTAAAGCACATGAAAACTATTTCAATGATTATAACTACAATTGATAATAAGTATCCCATTATTAATAATGAAAATGTGTTCATAAAAACCTCAATCAAACTTATATCGAAATACAAGTCAGTATTCATATTAATTTCGTTATATGTTATATTCTTTAAATGTTTTTTATAATCAATCATGATTATATCTACAGTTAGTTTGCGCACATCTAACGTCGCTTCAAAAATGCGTTTATACCTAAACAAGTTTAAAAAACAAATAATTTTAATAATTTGACCAACATAAATATTGTATGTTTATACAATTAACTATTTTTACTTACATTGATATAATTTGTTTAGTAAATATACAATCTTTTGCCACATAGGCATGTAGAAAATGCTTATAATATTTATTTTTACTGATACTGTAATAATTTTTATGAGCCTTAAAACATCTTTCAAACTCACGTACCCAAAAACTACTGCACAGTATTACAGATTTACCATCAGTCATCTCCTTGAATAATGTCCAATTGAATATATATTGTTTAAAATCTAATTTAATATTAAGTAATCGCTCGTAATTTTTGTGCTTTTCAATTAATTTATTTATTAATTGTTTATTAACCACGTCATTTTTCGCCATTGGTTCAAGCTTATATAAATCAGCACGTACATTAAGTTCAGTATTACTAACAATTTCGTCCAATGTATTTGCTATGGGCATAAATTTTACTGTTAAATACGCTTTTAATAAATCATTACAAAACAATTGTGTGATTATAAAAGCGCTGAATATCCAGATATACATTATTACGATTATATGCCAATAGTTTGTGTGAATAAGTTTACTATAAATGGTAGATGATTGATTGATTAAAAAACAAAATGTATGAATAATAGCATCATGATAATTGATGTTGTGTTTATGTGACTGAGTAATTATAAATGACACTAGGATAATGCTTAAGATTACGTTAATCCAAATCTAACATTAAATGAGATAACAATTAATTAATGAATTTATGATTTTGATAATTAATGCTATTTAATCACAATCACAACAAATGAATAAACCAGTAAAAAATGAATATACGTGTAAGTTAAACATTTGAACGTAGCCAAAATACTGATACGGTATTTGTTTTATACCACTAATGATTTCGATTCTATATTCGTCATTAATTGCAATACAATTGACGTCATTTGAGTCACAAATTGAAAATATATACAGCGATGTAATTGCCTGAAGACAATCAAGTATTAGATTTATAATTAACCTATGCAAATGTGATATATTTAAGAATATAAATTACCTTCTTAAAATCAACCATACTGATAAAATCAATGACAACATTTAAACTACATGTAATATATTGAATGATTGACAATATTGTAGCATATGCTTTACCCTAATGTAATGTAGTTTAATTAGATGAATTAAACAAATTATAAATTAAATTATACATACGGCATATATAATAGTAATGCGTTGAGTTTCATTATTTATATGGCCGCAGTAATATGATTGCTCAGCTTTAACAATCATCCATGGTATAATTTTAAACTTATGTAGAATTTGCGTGTTTATGTCCAATTCTTTCGGCATTATTTAAATTAAATGCTTGGATTAAAATGAAAAATTTGATTTACACCTAAATAACTTAAATAAAGAGTATTTTTCAAGTTCTACAGTAATTTATATTCAACAATATTTATATAATATTTTGTTAAAATATATCAGGTAGGCATTTAAAATAAGAATTAAAATTTTTATTATATTTAGTTATTTTTTGGTAATTCTATTTAAAATTTAATAAATGATTATTTAAAACATTTCAAATGATATAATTTCATATATGGTATGCTAAAATAATAACTTACGAGTTAGCAATGACTAATTATTTTAATAGAAATTTAAACATCTGGGATTACATTAAACTTCAATTTTGTCATTGAGAGTTATTAATTGCTATTAACCTGTCACTTATAGCCATATTTTGAGCTTGGTTATTATTTCATAAAATGTATACAATAGTGATATAATAACTCACCTAATTTATTTAATGTTTTAAAAACAATTTTTTAATTATAACAAAAATTAATTAATTACGCGGATTACGTATTTGTATTTTAGATACAAATTAACCACGATCAAAATACGTAATTCAGTTTAAACAACAATTATAAGGGATGGTCTAAACAGCATATTTTTGCATATTTTTGCATATTGCATATTTTTGCATATTTGCATATTTTTGCATATTTTTGCATTTTTCGCATATATGTGTATAAAATTAATATATACAGTTTAGAAATATAAATTTTAATTTATTATATAATTTAATACTAAATAAAATAAATGTTGTAATTTTAATCAAAAAATTAATGTTTTAATTTTCATTAAAAAATTTCATTTATATAAATTACTATATTGATTACTGCTGTAATATTTAATTTAATATAATTATATATATATTATAATTTTAATAATGATTAATTAATATTATACGTAACAATCTATTTTATTAATTAAAATTTTAATTTAATTAATTAATATAATATAAATTTAAATTATAAAAAATTAAATAGTAACGCACATACAATCAGCATCAGCAGTAATAAATACAGTAATTGATGAAAATGAAATTTTTTAATGAAAATTAAAACATTAATTTTTTAATTAAAATTACCACATTTATTTTATTTAATATAAAATTATATAATAAATTAAAATTTATATTTCTAAACTGTATATATTAATTTTATACACATAAATGCGAAAAATGCAAAAATATGCAAAATTATGCAAAAATATGCAAAAATATGCAAAATTATGCAAAAATATGCAAATATGCAAAAATATGCAATATGCAAAAATATGCTGTTTAGACCATCCCCAATTATAATTATAAACAAAAAAATCAATTCTGAAAAACAAGTTTATAATTAAATGAAATTATTATAACTAATAATTCAAAACATGACAATTAATAATGAATTCATTTCTAATACAAAAACACATTAAACTAATTGATTGATTGACAGACATATCGTAAAGTATATAAACCGATAAATTTTCATAAAATTAATTCAAATACAATTCAGTTAATAAAGCGATTAAACAATGAGATTGTCCATAAGTTTATCGTTGGCGATAGTTATAGGCCTATATGTCGGGGCCAACTGCGAGCTAACCCGGGTTAGTTTGGATAAGCATAAGACAACCAGACATAAGTTGCGTGAACAAGGTAAAAGTATCAATGACGTTTTTAAAAATGAAGCTAATCAGGCCAACGGTGTTGTTGCGCTGGCTTTGCAAAACTTTTTGGACACCTCGTACTTTGGCAACATTACCCTGGGCACTCCGCCGCAATCATTCACCGTGAGTAGAAAATCACCTAGTTTATATAATGTATAATAAAATCATTAGAATTTTAACTACATTTACATTAATAATAAAATTTTGATCAGGTACTGTTCGATACGGGCAGCTCTAACCTATGGGTGCCGTCGATTCAATGCCAATCGCCAGCCTGTACTCAGCACAACCAATACCGGGCGACCCAATCGTCGACATACGTGGCCAACGGAACGGCGTTTTCCATAGAGTACGGCACCGGCCATACGTCCGGCTTTCTCAGCACCGATACGCTGGGCATCGCCGACACTCAGGTGACTGACCAGACATTTGCCGAGACCACCAAAGAGCCGGGCACCACGTTTATATTCTGCGAGTTTGACGGCATACTAGGCATGGGCTACCCAGCGGGCGCTAACGACCAGGTGACCCCGGTGTTTAACAATATGATAGCACAGGGAGTGGTGTCGGCGCCGGTCTTCTCCTTCTACTTGAATCGCGACCAGAATCAGGCGTTTGGCGGAGAGATTATATTCGGCGGCTCCGATCCCGACCACTATTCCGGTCCCATGACGTACGTCCCGGTCGTTCAAAACATTGATGGTTACTGGCAATTCACCATGGACAGTGGCCTAGTAGGTGGTAATAATGTGTTTTGCAACGGTGGGTGTCAGGGTATTGCCGACACCGGCACTTCCATGATTGTCGGCCCGGATGATGATATCGCGGCCATCGTTCAGGCTATCGGTGCCACCGATGCCAACGACGGTAGCGGTGACTACATTGTCGACTGCAATAGTATTGGTTCGTTGCCTACCATTACGTTCACTGTTGGCGGACAGGCCTTCCCGTTGACGGCCGCCCAATGGGTGGTACAACAGACCGATGACAATAACAACCCGTACTGTATCGCCGGTTTCCAAGCGGGCGGTCCCGGCAATGGCCCGCTTTGGACAATGGGTGATGTGTTTATCGGCACCTATTATACTGAGTTTGATTTCGGTAATAATCAGCTCGGATTTGCGCCGACTAAATAAATTTATGAATTTCCCCGACCATGATTGATTTTATTTATGATTTAATACTAAATTTTTGTAATATTTAATAAAAGCATTTTTAAAAGCATTAAATTTTGTGTATTTGTTTATTACAATATTTATTATTTAATTATTAATTTTTAAAATATTTGTACAAAAGCATAAAATGCACAAGAGCATTATGAGTACATTTTTAGAATAAATTAATACCGGTAGAGAGAGAGAGAGAGAAAGGGAGAGAGAGAGAGAGAGAATTTGTGTAAATGAATTCAATATTTTGTAAAAACTGTAACATAATATTGGAGTGAAAAATGTGTAAAATATAAAGTTTTAGTGTTTAATAAATAATAAGTATTTCCCATTCACTATATGTACAGAATTACATATAGTTTGCAACTAATGCTAAATCGTAACCGCCGTATAACGTGATCGCTTTTCGACACTTGAACGCTGTAACGTGGATTTGAATTGGGATATAATTTTACTATGTAAATATACTTTTGTAATAATAAATTAGTAAATTATAATTAAATTGAGCAATTCTACATTTAAAATAAGAGAGCGAGAGAATCTTGAATTAAAAACTATAAATATTTAAAAGAAAAATATGTGAAATTTATAATTATAAATAAATGATAAGTATTTGCAAATAGAATTGCATTTTATAATAAAATATTCTTTTTCCATCACCTTTCAAAAAATATTACCAAATATTTAAATATAAAGTTTTAAAAGTTTTAAAAATGATTCCCTACTGTGTGGCCATAATAATTTATTTATATTATTTAAAATAATTTTAAATATCAACTATGATAGTAATTAATTATTAATTTAGCAATGTTATAATTAAATCTTATAAAATTTATTGAGATTTTACAAATTTTTAATTATCAAATTCTGTTTATTAAAGTTATTGAAACTATTAATGAAAATATCATGATTATTTTATAAGTTTAACATTAGTTTGTACATTTATTAAAAATTTATATATTAAAAGTTATTTTAAATCTACACGAAATACAATTTTGTAGAACGTTATTTATTCTAATTAACTATCAAAAAATGTGACAATTAATTGATACAATTTAATCTGTTTGAATTAAAACTTAAAATTACATTATAATTTTCATGTTAATTGTATTTTGATAATTTATTTCATTGTAAGATGCCAATTTATCCCAATGAATTATTTATTAACATTATTAAATTAATTATTAATGAATGTGATGTTAATTCTACTTTAAAACATTTTTACTTGCTAACAATACAATTACAAATAATATGTGACATATGGTTACAAATTATAATTCATTAATAAAAGATTGTTTTATATGTAAATTGTGTCATATAGTAAACATGATTAAAAACAAATTTTTGTTTGCGTTTCAAATTTAATTTTTATGCCATGCTTGTAAAAATATTATTTGGTTTTTCTAACACTTGTATAAAAATGACAAATACCTTGTTTGCAAAGTTTTGTTTTGACACTTTGAGTAACATTAATATTTTATTTTTAATTAATGTTTAAATAATAATGTTCAAATTAGGCCCAGAGTGCACTCGGGAATTATTGCCATAAATCGAAAGTACACTCTGTAGTAAGTACTGTGATATAGTTAATTTGGCCAGACGACCTCGGGTTTGGCCGCAGTGACCACTTTTATCGGGGAAAATTTGAATATCAAATCTTGTATTTTATAAATAAGTGTATCATATTATATATCAGTGGAAAGGTATGGATGAGTGGAATAATATTCTGAAAGAATTTCCCAGATCCGACCTAATAGACAATAGTTATACCAAAATTAAGAAATTTGCTATTAATTTTGTACAATATTTATGGCTATATGCGTTTTTGTTTTAGCTCATTTACATGAATATTAAATAT